ACAATTTGGTGCTTCTGCACAAATGTTGGTTTGTGGCATCACTGTCGTCGCGCCACAAGCGAAACGCACCGAAGCCTAATAAATCACGCTATCAGTTCCGAAGTAATGCGCTATATACAGTACAGCTCCGAAATATCACACAGAGTGTTGGCCGCTCCCTGGTCAGAACATCACCATTCATTGGTCCAGAGTAGTGTTCAAACATTAGTCGTAGAACTGTAGATAAAGTAGTTTATTTTTTTTTATGTTTTCTGGGCGGTATATAAAAAAATGATATAATTTTCATTTATTTCCTATATTACAGTATACAAATATAATTTGAAAATTTGTAAAAAATATGACAATGGACGGCTTACAAGTAGTATATTTAATCTTTTACAATAATGTACTTTTACGTAAACATGTTTTGATTATTTTATTCAAAGAAGTTTTTAACATAATACCGATTTAAATTAAAAATATGAAGTATTTTACACAAGCAATCCCGATTTAGTCATTCGATTGATAAAATACTATATAAGTGTAAACGAATACATAATACAGCCTGAAGATTTAAACAACGTACACCCTCTAAAATTATATTATTAACGATTTGAACTTGTTTAAATAATTAAAATGTATAAATGTTTTAAGTAATAAATGCAACGAACAAGTCTATAAGAACATAAAAAATGGACCCTAGGTTAGTGCCCCCCAACTATTCGATAATCATTCAGAAAAATTAAAAAAAAAACTCACGTCAATATCACCCTAATAAGGCAGTTAGTGGTGCACACAACTTAAACCTTAATTTGTTCACAAAGCTTATTTGGACTAACATGTCTTATTGGTCAAGTCAACGATAATAAATACACATAAGTTCAAAAAACTTTTTGGTATTTATACATTTTTCCTTCACACTTTCTATCCCGGCTTAGCAAAAACACTAATTGCACAACATTTCAAAGAAAAAACCAGCAAACAAAGAAACCAACACATCGCATTAACGCGCGTTGCTGCGGCGCCGCCTTCACGGGAGAAGCGACACTGGGTAGGAAGAGTAAGAGTAAGTATGACTTTTTTATATAGAATATGGGTTACAAACGAGCACACATATCATAGACATTTATTCTCAATTAAAAATCAAAATGCAATGCCCTGAGGACTAAGAAGGAATGCCTCGTTACTAATAAAAAGGGTTTCCGGTTCTCTACACCCACCCTACGGAACACAACAGCATTAAGCTGCCATTTTACGATAATATTCTGTGAGAGCTTAGTACCCCGGTCGAGCCGACCCGTGCTACAACCATAATATAGCTGCAGCGTGGCTCTACCACGTTCATTTTTTGAGTATTTTAAAAATGGAAGTACACTTGTTTACATAGATTACGGAATTTAATCTTGAATAAACATAATATTAGACATAAAAAGATAACACGCATTGGTCGTGAGCTCGTGATACTCCTAGTGAGAAAACTAGGTCATAAGCATGAAACTATTGTATTATCGTCGGTTCATAAAGCGTCAGATTTTAGTAAATCCACAGGATACAGCTTTCGTTTAAGTCTTCAGGCATGGGTGGGCTCGGTAATTGGTCGAATTCTCGCAATATTGTGGATTACTCTCGATACAATTTGATTGCTCCTCGGAAACTCATGGACATAAACTATATTCGAATATTTCTACACTGAAAAGCAGCTGCCTGCTGCATGTTTATTGTTTTCACACTACACATGTATATGACTGTGATTCCATACCCAAGCATATTCAACATACATCATCAGACGTACACTACTGGGTCACACTGGCGTCGATCAGACTACAGTGTACACCAGGAAAGCCTATGATAGCGTTTGACCCTGACTTCGTTCTGCCGGGGGTTTATTGTTTATTGTTACTATTGGGTTTATTGTTACTATTTCGCTCACGTTCTAAGCAAGCGCGTGAATTTACAATGCCTACATATTATTTTAATGTATAAATAGGTCAATTTAATGCGTTACCTGCCTTATCAGTTCTTTTGTACGGAGTATTGCATTCAAAAAATAAATAAAATGGCTGAGTTTTGTTTTTACTTGTTTAGAATCAGAACAAAATACTGATTAACCTCCTTTAATATTATATCCGTTGATTAAATAATCAGGCTATATACGTCGGTCTTAATATGAGATATCCATATAGTCTTATTTCTAAGATTTACAGTCTTATTTGAAAAATAAATTTAATGGTCCTCAAAAACACATTTCTTTTACCAGTGTTTAAAAAAGTAATATAAAAATTAATGAAAAAATTAATACATTTTGTGCAAGTATACATCAATTCGAAAGTTCACTCTTTAAAATCTATAAACCGAATAAAGACTATAAGGCCAAGCTAGAGACATCATTATTATCTATCTGCAGGCTATAATTTCAAATAGTTCAAATCACATTCATAAAATATCAAAACTGTTGCCTTTAGTGTTTCATTACAGAATACTTTCTATCCAGTAAATAACAGGTATATTTTCGATTTATATTTCGTCTTTGTAATAACTCAACTGGGTCAGGTGTTAGTTTTGTTACATTAAAGAATTCTATCACTTACATCAGTTCCAGTCTTCTAAAGAAGATTAATATAACAAGATTTTTCAAAACCGTAATATAAACAGTATTTATTAAATTCTATCTTAATTTCTATGAAATAAACTTAAAACTTGCCAACCCGCCTGCTAAGCGTAAAAACTATGGCCAAATTAAATATCTTTATTCATGATTTATGACTGTTGATAGTGAAATTATTGAATGAAACTTGAAACACCTTAAATCTTATATTATTAGTTTTAAAATGAGATTCAGATACAATAAAATTAATAAAAAATGATATGCTAAATGGCAAACCATTGGACGGAAGATCGTTAACAAATAAGGGCATGAAATAACAAAATGCTGATTTTACAAAAGTTTATGAGACAAATTAATAAAACTACCAATTTCAGTAGTCGTACTTAATATATGTATGTATAAAAAATAAAATATAGTCTGCTATTAAGCAATTGGTCTTAAAAAATTCAAAAACTAAAATAATTTTTAAATTATTTTAAGTTTGTGCAGTATTACTAGTAATATCATGTATACTAGGTGTGCCCGCGGCCACATACTTACGACTACGACTTTGTTCGCATTTTTCTAATTTTTTTGCGCGATACCTTATTTTTCAAAAAAAGTAGCCTAATTACAGCCTTATAACAGGAGCTATCTACCGGTAAAAGTCCTGTCAGAATCGGTCCAGCCGTTGTGGAGATTAACCGGAAGAAACAGACAGACAAAAATTTTAAAATTTGTTTTTTTGTTATAAGTACCATAAATACTTTCATACGCATTTATTAAAAAGCTGTTATTTTGACATTACAAACAGACACTACAATTTTATTTATTTGTATAGGATTTAGACTGTTTAATATTATATACTTTACATATCGTACTGAGAGGATAAATAACTATGAAGCCTATTTGATTGTAAGTGGCCACTGATACCATCCTTAATGCAGAATCGAGACATGAGGCTAGTGTCAACATTAAGGCTTAAGATGAAATGCATCACTACCAGTAAAGTAAGTGACAGGGATTATGAAATCTGAACTTCACATGTTATAATGAATCAGCGTTACATTATGTGACAAGGGAGCTGAGGGGTATAACGAAACGTGAAGTGACGTAATTACATATTATTTTTTTCGCAACTTATTGCTTTTTATATATATATATATATATATATATATATATATATATATATATATATATATATATACATATGTGTGTGTATGTGTGTGTGTATGTGTGTGTGTGTGTGTGTATGTTTTGAAGTCAAAATAACTACATCTTGTTATAATTTTATATACTGTTACCTGAAATGGCACCGAAACTGGCGGTGTGACGCATCGCAATCGCGTTGCCTCTATACATAGGCTAGGTAGGCTTTTTAGAGACGATATAAATCAATATAAAACTCGGTGGGATGGTACAAAAAATTATTAATTTAATGTACAATGAATACATACGCAAAACTCACTCAGTGCTTCAAAACTAGGTAAAATCGACTTTTCAGTTTTCTACACCGACCTATATATTAGCCTATAATCTTTTGCATATCCGAATTTAATGCGAATATAATAGCATTGTGTCTGGAAAATTAGGTAACTTTATTCATTCTTCGTCATTTGGTAGGTAGGTAGTTGACATCAAAACGTCAAAGGCCTCAGTGCTGTAAAGCACCCGAAACATCGAAAATTAAAATAGCGGAAAATCGGAAATTAAAATAAATATTCTAAACGCGACGAAATTAGTAAAATTAATTTGATTCAATTGAGAAAACGCTACTCTTTTATAATAAATAGTCTGATAGAACCCTCTGTCCTGTTCTAGAGCAAATTACTAGGGCACTCACTGTTGCATTTAGGTTTGAGGGGTAAGACGTTTTACCTTAGTCTGTCGAGTTGGCAAACCGATTGTACGTTTGTAGTGGCCACTGACTACCGAATCAGAAAATGTGTTGTTTTATTGGAACATTTACAAAACCTGTATATATTAATAAGTATTTGGTAATATTTAAATATAATTTAAAAAGGCACTGCAATATTCGAATGATTTTTAAATTCATAAATAATGTGTAAATAGTATATAATAATAATTAAGCTAGATATTTTTACTTAAAAGGATTGATGACAATTTTATTGTATAGTGAAATACCAGTATGCGAAACTATCGTTTCAAAATACCTTACAATATTATACTCATATATATCTTAAATTAAATTGGTTAGATCTAATATAAGTTTTTAAACATAGAAGTTTTTAAAACGCAACACAGCAGCTCTTTCTTTTAGATTGAACCTCTTTACCTTTAAATATAAAAGGGTGTGAATTGTCCTAAGACTTCGATATGTTAGTTATTACACTGGAGTCTCTAAGCCGCCATCAGGGGCTAACAGTTTGGCTGCTTCAGCTATATCATCATTTCTGCTGGCGGCGTGGCCCTCGCATCATATCTGCGAGGCTGGCATGGTTGAGACTGTGCTGTGCGGAGTTGTAGGCCGAGAGCCGGCTAGGGATGCATTAAGGGATGCCATTGTCCCCATCTGGAAATAAATTTATTACATATTTTTTTAAACCTGAAGTGAGGTTTTCTAGATAAGGTAGAGTAAGTTGAACTTTCACCGGTTTGTACAGTAGTGAAATTTCATGGTAGAATTGAATAAAATATGACAAATAATACTAATATAAGCAAGCAATAATAAACAATTATAAGTAAGGTTTTTGATCTATTCTACACACATTCTTTGATTGGTTGACAGCATTAAGGATTAACCGCTTGAATGTACGGAAATGCCGTTATCCTTTATATACCTTTTATGGCAACACTATCTCTTTCCTAAACATATATTATCAAAACTTCAGTCACGGACCTTTTTTATTTTCGCTTGTAACTTCTTACTGTAATTTTCTGAAACAATCTCTGACTAAGTCTTTATCACTAAAATGCCAAGTGACCTAAAACTAAAAGGTCAAGTGTCAAATTACCTAAATATTTCAGTTTTAGGCGAAATTAGACAAGAGGGTGAAATTCACTTTTGGTTAGGGTTTCAAATTAGAATTATCAGGTACAGTATGCACGCAAGCTCATTAGTATCATAAGGAATGTGTGTGTAAGGAAAGTGCTGTCAAATTATTAGTAATACTCATTTACCAATATAAATAATTTATATTTTAATACTAGGACCTCTATTACGGGCTGCAAGAAAATAATAATTTCTGATGTTACTGAGTGTACTCATTGCTTTTAAGTCAATCGTTAAGAGCCCTCTTATATTTCGGCGTTTCGGAAATTTAGGTATTTTACGCACCGAGCGGTCGGCGAGCTACGCGACCGATACTTTCTTTCATATCTATTCACTCGCTCGCACTGTATTACTGTGAGTATGACGATTAAACGATCTTGATCTTCCATAATACAAAGTTTTCTTAGGATGGACTTCAGTGGATGGAAAATTTTTTGGTGTGTCATTTTAATGTTATCTTATTAATTTATTATTATATAATGTAAAGGGAAACGTTGTACCCCTTTTTAAGCATATTGCATGCACGAAGATGTAAGAGATTTGGCATAGTGAAACTTTATATGGAAGAGAGCAGAAAGTTAATTTTTACATATAATGTGTTATAAATACATAAAATAAACATTCACTGTTTACATTCATACTGCCAAACACATAATAGCTGCTGTCAAATAGTCGCTAAAGTATTTTAAGATGTTGCCAACAAATAATTACCAACAAACTGAGCGAAATGAGCTGTGAATTTTGTGTTTGCGATTTCAAATGTTTTTTTTTTGCCAATAGTCTGTGGAGTGTTGGCCAAGGGAAAAAAGTGTTTATTTTATAATTTGTATATTAAATACCTGTGTCTTACAAACTAATGTGATGATAATAAATTACAGTCCAATTTCAACCACAGAGTGAACATCAGTTTGATTTAAAAAGTAATTACAAAATACCGCTTAAATAAACAAATAATAATAATAATGTAACATTTTGCCACATCATGATTGTTCCTATTGGAAAGAAAACCAAAAACTTTATTTTTAATTATGTTCATGTGAAACAACCGCCTGATTCTTGTGTGCTGATATTACAAAAAGATTTTTCCAGAACCCTTTAGTTCAAAGCAAAACAAAACAATGCAACTCACCCGTAAATGGGCTAGGTCCTCGAGCTTGGTTAAATCAGATAACTCCAAGTACAAGCTGTACACGAGCAGCCAACCATAGACACCTGCGACGCAGAAAACGACCCAACAGAGGCATATGAGAATGTTGTAAGCAAATATCATGTCATTAACTATCGATGCGAAAATGAAGGCCACGGTGCGAAATAATATAAACACACCAAAAGTGTATAACCATGGGACAATCTTCTTTTCATATTCCTGGAACAGAGAATTATGTTTTTTTTTTAATAAAACTAAAATAACCAACAAACTTATCTGAAAGTAAGTGGCTGAGGTAAGGACAAACTTTTTTTTTTATAGCACAAGGTTGACAAACGAGCACACAGTCCACCTAATGGTAAGTGGTTGCCGTGATCCATAGACATCTACATCTATCCTCGTTTGCTAATCAAAATGCAGTTGCGTTGTCACCCGTGTGAGGACTAACATGGAATGCCTCTTTTCCAGTAAAAAGGGTCTCCGGTTCTCTACACATACCATATGAAATACAGCAGCGTTTAGCCGCTACTTTACACTGGTATTCTGTGAGTGTGGTCCTTCCCCAGTTGAGCCGACCCATTTGTGCTACAACTATACTGTCAATATAGTTGCAGGATGACTCTACCACGTATCTCTGAATGGCTCACAGCCAGTAACTAACTATACTGGTTCTGTATTCGTTCAACCCTTCAGACTGGGACACAGCAGTGCAAGCACTACTATTTGGAGGCACACCTACACAGAGGTACTTGTATGGAGAAAGATATTGAGTTCTATCACCTAATAAAATGTTTGTACTTCCATTAAAAATAGCCTAGGTACATAATTCCAATTGCTACACACATCCTCTAGTTTTTAAACTCTGTATTAAGATTCACCATGCTAATGTGTGTTCCCTTATAGCCAATATGAAAAGTCCCCTGCCGAACATAGACCTCCCCATAGTTTGTCTCATACCCCTAGGATATTTGACATAGTTGACACGCTTGTCAGGTAGGTTGGCCACTGCAGTTTTTTTACGTATTGTTGTTATTAGGAATATGTGGCTGCACATCTCCTTGGTTGTTTCCCTTTGTCACCATTTACCACACCCACACGACACTATTATGCAGTAGTTAGTGACAGGTGAATTGGCGAAATTTATTCTCTAATGGGTCACACCAACATGTTCGAATTTGACAATAAAACCTATATAGGTTTAAAGCTATGTTTATGAAAATAACAATCGTTTTTGTTTCATCAAAATTGGTGGAGAAATACGAAAGTTATAACGTTTTAAAGCTTCGCAATTTTTTTAAATTTTTACCCGCTCGTTCTCTGTGACGTGACGTCACAATCCGACAGAGCGAACGCGCAGTAGGTAATTGCTAAGTTCAGTACTAACCGCGCGCTCGGAAGTATACGGTCGTTTACCTACATAATATATCGAATGTCAGAGTTAATGTCCGGTTGACTGTATTAGATGATACAATACTTATAATAAACCCAACGACTATATAATAATTTTGAACTAATAATTTATGAATAATCTAATCTAATCCAATGTAATGAATATTATTTAAGATGAATAATTTAATCTAATTATCTAATCTATTATTATGAATAATGTAATCAATGATCTATTAATAATATTTGACATTTATATATTAGGTATTTATATTTGTAATTTTCGTGGTAGAGCCATGCTGCAGTTATATTAATAGTATAGTTGTAGCACGAATGGGTCGGCTCGACCGGGGAAGGACCACGCTCTCACAGAATACCAGCGTAAAATAGCAGCATAATGCTGCTGTGTTCCGTATGGTGAGTGTAGAGACCCATTTTACTGGAAAAGAGGCATTCTATCTTAGTCCTCACGGCTGACAACGCATTTTAATTTGCAAACGAAGATAGATGTAGATGTCTATGGCCCACAGGAACCACTTACCATCAGGTGGACTGTGTGCTCGTTTGTCACCCTTATTCTATAAAAAAATTAAAGAAAACATTTATATGCCCATGAGACTGATCACATACTGAACTTTATTTGTGTTTAAATAAGAACTTTTTGTAAACTGTGAATCACAAATGAACTATTTGATTTGATTTATAAACTAAAGTATTGAACATTTAACTTTTATATGTTTATATTTATATGTATAGTCCCGGTGTGTAGTGTTGTATACAAAAGAAAATGAATGCAGGCTTTGAAAAAAGACAGCTAATCTGCCAAAAGTGGATATTTTTATGGTTGCGCAGTATTTTCAGAAAATTATGATTTTTTATCATCAAAAATGCATGGAATAAAACTAAAGGTAAGTTACTAATAAAAGATTACGAAAAGTACAAAGCTTTACCATTGATTAGTAATTAGGCAGTAATACATAGGTAAGTATTAACTGACCGAACCATGTTGCGCATGATTTACAACGACATAAAATGAAAAAACTTAAACTTACTAATGCAGTGAGTATTACTCAACTCGTACTGTTATTTAGTACCTAGTGAAACGTGAAGAATTTTAATGGTTACGTAGTTCGTCAGTGGTTGCAAACATATAGTCGTTTTTTACTTTGACTTACTTTTGAATAAACTGATTGCGGTATTACGTTGGTAGTTGGTACCTATACTGTTTTGAAAATGCAATGGTCGCAAACATTCAATGCGTGTAATACCTACTAAACTGATTTTGATGAAATTTTGCATTAAGGTATAACTTGATCTACAGGATTTTATCTTCTCATATCTGACTTTTATTCCCAAGGAGCGTGATATAACAGAAATTAAAAAAAAAAAAAAACAGAAAATAAAGGTTACTGATAAATAAATAACATGACAAGAAAAATATGGAGTAATAAAATATGGAGCGAATAAGAAAAATATAACAATAAAGACTACTGGTGGCTTCGACGTGTCGGTTTGTGACGTCACATCGCGATGCGGAGCAAAGCGGTCGCCCTTACCGTAAAACACCACTTTACTCATCAATATTTCAGTCATTTTTAAAGGTAGAAAAAAAATAAGAATCCCGTTGAATTCGTAATTTTTTATACAATTTTTTGATACCGTTAACAAAATTGGGTGGCCAGACCCATTAAGTGCATTGCAAGTTTTTTAAAGAAAGGATCTTAAGAGCTTAAGTTTAATATAGTATAAATAAATAATATCCTTTAATAATTCATTTATCTACTATCCATTACATTCTTTAAATAGATATTTTTCTAAACTTTTATTGTACAATTGTGATTACTATAGGCATAATCACATCCTTCTTGCTGAACACAGTTCATGGCTCTGTAGCACAGTGACTAAGCTGAGCACTGCTGACCGCAGGTTTGAATCAGGCACAGAATAAGTATTTGTGTGGCCTTCAAATGCTGTTCCTGATCTGGATGTTTACATATATTTGTATATATTCAATTTTAATTTTAAATGAATTATACAATCTTAATTTTTCTCAGTATAATTTCATAAGAACAAAATATAATTTTTATACTTGCGTAAAGGTGAAGAACATAATAAAAGTTAAACTTACTTTTCTTAGTGCTATTATGAGCAGAATACTTGTTATAAGTACAGCCACTGATCCAATCCAGGAAAATAATGAAAATACAATCAGGACATTCCGAACTGAAAAAATATTTACATGACTTGTAAAGAAATCTTATACTTTTGAAATTAATTCTACAAGTGGAATATTCATTCATATCTATGATTTATATTATAATTTGGTGTCAATATGTAAAACAACCAATAATAACTTTTACAGTTCAACAAACTATTTTTTAAGTTTTAACATTGAAATTGGTATTTATACAGCAAGGATATATTTATTTTAAATTATATATACTAACTTCCATCTAAATAATCCTATAATTGATAATATATTTACTCTATAATTATAACATTTACTTGTGACTCCCATGACTTTTCCCATGATTCTATCAAAAGTCAAGAAAAGCCATAGATTGAAAAAGAGAATCAAGCTTAAATATGTATACCCTTTTACATCAATCACACTAAAAAGACCTTTTGAAATATAAGATGAATTGTAAAATCTAACAAAGATTACTTTACAGTTTTATGGACGTACTACATAAGCATTTACAAAACTCACCTGGTGCACTTCCAACATAGACAAACTGAAAGCTGAAAATATAATATCCGTAATGTATAGATCCAGGTGTTGCCATACCCAAGCAGTAAAGGTCAAAGACACTCTGGGCAAATGTAAACAGAGCTATAACCTGAAATTCAGAAAGTAAATAACATAAAAAAGTTCTTTTTTAAGTAAATAACATAAAGAACTATACATTTTATACATACTACCTATATGGGTACCTTACCACCATTTCTCTAATGATGAAATAGGAAGCTTAAAATCTAATTTTTCTCTAATTTCTTTTTGCTCTAATTTTTTTAAACCAGGGTGACAAACAAGTCCATTTGATGTGAGGACTAGGATAGAATGTATCATTACCAATAAAAAGATGTCTGGATCACTGTGCATCAGCATTAGCTGCTATTCTGTGATGGTGTTTCTTTCTTAGGAGTATTTTTGAATATTGTATTATATGCTAGCTGGTAATATGAAGAATTAATTGTGGAAATATTGTTTTAAATTTGAAATAGTTTTTTTTTTAGCCCAATCTGATGAACGATATGGCAGCACATAAAATAAGAACAAACAAACATTAAATTTTTTTAAGATTATAATACTGACTATTTGCAGCCCAGTGGACCTGTTAAAATCTGCTTCTTCTCCCAATGTAGGGAGGATTCTCATATACATATATGATCATGATCACTCTTGGCAGTACCAAATCTTTCCCAGCTTTAGTGCTGCTTTACCCCACTTGACTGAGTATTTAACACCTGGCTTAGAAATGGTTACACCACCATCTTCTAGTATAAAGAGCCATAAGATCTTTCTGGCATTTCTTAAAATTTCCTATTATGTCAATTATAAAATTGGGTGATAAATCCTCTTATCCCACCACCATATGTATACTTTAAGCACTATAACATAGCTTGTACAAATCATACCTTTTAAATGGAAGTCTTTTTAAGAAGTTGCTGTTGTAAAAATTGACTGAGGGGACTATTACAGTAATATTGTGGTTTTGCAGGTATGATGACATTTTGACAGGCAATGAATGTAGACTGTTTATTATGTATAATAAATTTGTATAAAAAACAGTTTAATTTTTAATTAGTTTATATTGTTAACAGACCATATTACTAAGCATAAGCTGTCATCATACATCTGCCGATTATTAAACAACAATATTAAGTTGTTGGTGCAAGATATGAGGGTGAATTGAAAAGTACTCGGCCTAACCAAGAAAATAAACAAATACTAAATCAGTTATATTTTTATTTTTCTACATAATCACCATCAAGTTCAATACACTTTTGCCACCTCCCCTTCCAAGCATTTAGACCGTTGAAAAAAAATGATTCTTCCTTAGAGTCAAAATATACGTCTACAGCTGCTTTGACCTCGTCGTTTGTCGAAAATCTTTGACCTCCCAAGTGCTTTTTTAGGTTAGGGAACAGAAAGAAGTCTGATGGTGCCAGATCAGGTGAATACGGCGGATGCGGTAACAGTTCAAAGCCACAGTTGTGAATTTCAGCCATTGACTGTACTGACGTGTGAACACGGGCGTTATCTTGATGAAACAGGACTTTTCTTCTGAGCATTCCTCGACGTTTTTCTTTTATTTCCTCTCGTAAACGACGTAGTAAGGTGCAGTAGTAATCAGAGTTTATATTCTGACCCCTTTCAAGATAATCAATCATAATCACACCTTTCGAGTCCCAGAATACTGAAGCCATCACCTTATTTGCCGACAAAATCGACTTAGCCTTTTTAGGGGGTGGTGAACCAGGTCTTCTCCACTGTTTTGATTGTTGTTTTGTTTCCGGTGTACAGTAATGAACCCATGTTTCGTCCATAGTAACAAAACGATTAAAAAAATCATCTGCATCGGCTTCAAATAACTCCAAACAGTCGCGTGAAATAGTCAATCGCGTCCTTTTTTGTTCAACTGAAAGCAGTCGCGGAACCCACCTCGCAGACACCTTGTGGAAACCCAACTCGTTGACAATGATGTTTTGAGTTCGTTCATAAGAGATGCCTATAATCTCGGCTATCTCTCTAATTTTTAATCTGCGGTCTCCCATTATTAAATCAAGTACTTTTTTAATATTTTCGTCAGTAGTTGACGTCGAAGGCCTTCCAGAGCGGGGTTCATCTTTCACACTCTCTCTACCACGCTTAAATTCTGCTATCCATTTTTTGACGGATGAATATGACAGAGCACAATCGCCTAATGTACTGACCATGTCATCATGGATGGCTTTTGATGATAGCCCCTTCTTATGGAGGTACTTAATGACGGCACGCTGCTCGATTTGCTCCATTCGCGGAAATTATGTCCGATTACTTTGTTAATAAATTTATAAAATCACAACTAATTATCGCACACGTTTCGAACTTCACACAATGAACTAGTCTGAACTGAACTAAATAATGTGGGTAGATTTGATTTTTAGAATTGAATGGATCTGTGTTAGGCCGAGTACTTTTCAATCCACCCTCGTATGTAACAAACTATTTGGTCATCTGGTGGTTAGAGAAACTATTTAGACAGTGTTCATGTTCACTTGTTGCCTGTGCGATACAATAATAATGTTGTTCATGAATAAACTAGTTTATCAGTAGACTGTAAACTAGTCTAACAGTTGATGCCCATGAACAATCTAAAAACTATTCATTTATTAAACGCGCATACCTACTATAATGTATGTAATATAACTAAATATATAAAATCGATGATATAAGTCTGGAAGAAGTTAAAATACTGAAAGATTTAGGTGTGCATATAAGTAACGATCTAAAATGGGAACAGCACATTACAGTGATAACTAAAAAAGCAAATAGTTTTATTTACCTTATTAGAAAAGCCTTCGGGCATCTAACACCAGAAATGATGCTAAAAATAAATAAGACATACATTCGACCTATTTTGGAATATGCGTTTCAAATCTGGAGCCCCTATTTCAAAAAGGATATTGAGTTACTGGAGAAGGTTCAACGCAGATTTACAAAGGTTCCCAGAGCATTGAAAAACATAAATGGAAAGGCTAAATAAACTTAAACTCACGACTCTGAAAGATCGCAGAGAACGAGGAGACTTGATCGAAACTTATAAAATTATACATGGACACTACGATCTAGAAAATTTTGACAAAGATTTATTCCAATACTCAAAAAATACGCATCTAAGGGGACATCACTTGAAATTAACCAAAGCCATGTCGAATAATAACCCACACAAGCACTTTATTAGCCAAAGAGTGGTCGAAACATGGAATAAGCTGCCATCAGAAGTGATGTCTGCAAAAAATGTTAACCAATTCAAGAACAGATTAGATAAACAACTAAAATAGAATAATCACACATTCGAAAATAGAATACGGGCTTGTATCAGTTGTTGCAACTGCTCGCCTGTTAAATAATAATAATAATAATAACTAACTAACTAAACTACGTTTCAGTGATCTCTTTGGGGAAACTGAGGGTTTTGTCTGTGCAATACAGGATCAGGTTATTAAGACCAATAATTATCGGAGATACATCCCAAAGGATGGCACCGTCGACATCTGTCGAGCTTGTCGCCATCCCGGTGAGTCACTTAGGCATGTCATCTCCGGTTGTTCGGCGCTTTCTGAGTATTTGCACAGACACAACCTAGTAGCCAGGATTCTACACCAGGAGCTCGCTCTGAAATACGGTCTCGTGGATCGGAAACTGCCATATTATAAGTACTTGCCGGAAGCCGTGCTCGAAAATAACCGCGCCAGGCTCTACTGGGACCGGGCCATCATCACAGACAGGACTATTCTTGCGAATAGCCTGATATTGTGCTGATGGACCGGGCACAGTCAAGGATATTTTTGGTCAACATTACCATTCCTTATGACGAGAACCTCGTGAAAGCCGAAACAGATAAGCTGACAAAATATCTGGACCTGGCTCACGAGGTGACCGAAATGTGGGGTGGTCTGCCGGCCGAAATTATTCCTGTGGTCGTTTCTGCGAACGGGTTAATCCCAGTTAGCCTCTCGGGTCATCTGAGGCGACTGGGACTCCGTGACGGACCGCTCCAAGCTCAAATGCAGAAGGCGGTGCTCCTCGATACCGCCCGCATCGTCCGCCGGTTTCTTTCCCTTTCCCCCTAACCCTCGGCCGTTTGGTCTCCCCTGCCGAGGGCTTCCATCTGGTTGGTTTTTTTTAAATATATTTATGTATTTTTTATGTATTTATTCTCGGCAACATTGAAGGTGCAAAGGCCCGCTTGTGCACATGGCCTCACCATGAAACGGTGCCGGGTCTGGGCGTCTCCTGTTAACTGACGCCCACTTCATGGATGATGGAATTAAGGAATACGCGCAAAGGGCCACTGCCTGGAGGTCACCAGGGCGCGTCTGGAGCTGGCGCTGGACGCGACAGCATGCGAACCGCCAGCCGAGCGCGAGGTGCTGCACGACCACCCAGCAGGCCCTCGCATCCATCATCTCCACCAGCTGGCTTGGTGTTGGCAGGGTCTTCGCGGGCCCAGCAAGCAATCAGCACCCGCCACTGGTGGAGTACGCCGCATGCGTTGGTCAATGCAAATGAACATAAATGCATTGCGGGCGTATCTTGGGGCGAAAGGGGCAGAAATTGGAGGTTTTGGGTATCGGGCTAGGATGCATCGACTATTTGCTGAGCTGGAGCCGTCTATTACCGTTGCCAAACAAAACCTGGCAGACCGAGTTCCGTACATCATGCGCTCAAAAAGATTTGATGACGCCGAACTCGAACGGCTACGACGTGAGGCTATTCCTTTGTCGAATGAAAATACTACGACAGGAGATGCGGCTCTACGAGTTGCAGAGCAACCCGCACATATAGATGCCGCCGTAGATCTTCTTGTGGTTGACTCAGGCGACGATGGAATAGTCGCCCCGGAATAAGAGCAAATGAGGAGCATATTGGAAGAGGCGATTAGGGAAACGCGCAGTACGCCTCTCGAGAATCGACCGCGACTTCCCCGTATACCCCTAAGCAAGCGGAATCGGGCTGTCGTGAAGGCTCTCCAATGCTGGTGACCTATTTGAAAGCCAGCCGGGACCTTTGCGAGACGGACTCAATTCTTTTTGGCGCCGCACTGGCAGTTTGCCGTATTATTGGCGCCAAACTTCCCACGGCTGGACGCGCTACTAGACAAAGTAGCGCCATCCCAACCTGGAGAAGAAGGGTTGAGGACCGTATCGCAAAGGCAAGGGCCCTCATCGGCAGGCTGATAAGCTTCAGGTCGGGCAATAATATGCCGAGAATTGTGCGCACTGTCAGGATGGCGTTTGCTGGGACAAACATCAGTTTGTCCCAGCCGGATATAACGCAAAAACTGACGGAGCGCATAGACGACCTGAAGCAGAGAATCGCTGCTTGGGGGAAGCGGATTCGGCGACACGGTTCAACCATAATCGTCTCTTCCAGATTGATCAGAAAAGGCTCTATGAATCATTGGAGCGACCAATGGTACGTGGAACGGGCCCAGCACTGAATCAGGCCGACACTATCGCATTCTGGCGCGGCCTGTGGTCAGAGCCCGTAAACCACAGCGAGGGCCCTTGGACGGAAGTTGTGGCGAGTCAGTGTGCGAATGTTACGCCCATGGACCCCGTCATCATTACGCCGGATGACGTAGCTGAGGCGGTCCGTAGGGCCCCGAACTGGAAAAGTCCGGGACTCGACGGACTGCATGACTACTTGCTGAAGGGGTTCGTGGTGTGTCACGCTGTGCTCGCCCGACAGTTTCAAGAGGCTCTCGACCAAAAGTCGCTCCCGAGGCTCTTCACTACTGGGATCACTCATTTGGTTCCTAAAGACCGGGATTCTACAGACCCGAGCAAATACCGCCCCATAACGTGTCTACCTACCATATACAAGACACTAACATCCATTTTGAGCGCGAGAATCACTCGTCACCTGAACTCAAATCAGGTGATGTCGCGTGCTCAAAATGTATGTCGGGGCGGTGGTCGTGGAACCAAGGAACCACTCCTCATTGACGCGGTCATTGGCAAGGTGGTTAAAATAATTAATAGAATCAGGCGTTACTTTGCGGAAATCCATTATAAAAACTTTTAGAAAAATTTACTTCGCAAATATCCGCGTTATAAAATAAAATGATGTGTCTTACCTAGTATGAAGAGCACCTCCCGCCCTCCCTCAATTGCGTGCACTATCCCCGTCACCACTAATCCCAGCACCGCTACTCCCAACACCACTACACTAGGCAAGACACACCACTGACGATAATACGACACGTGTTTCGCCTTTACACGAAGCATCCTCAGGTGATATAGACTCTACGGTGGCTAACCGCTAAGTGAGCGGCGAGCCAAAACAATGATATCTGTAATAATAAAGATAAGTTGGATATTCGTCAAGTCAGGTGTTTACAAACTTGTTTGTGACAAATGCCACGCCGTTTACGTGGGTCAGACTGGTCGCAATTTCGAGACACGTTATAAAGAGCATTTAGACGCGTACAGGAATTGCAATCCCGATAAATCCCATTTTGCCAAACATCTTTTGGACACTGAACGCAACCTAGCCAACGACCACTCTTTTAAGTCCTCAGTCGCAATTTTACTACCGGTTAGTGCAGTCGCTTCATAATGACGTGACGGTTCTAATGCCGAACTTACAGTATTTTTGTAGCGTAAGCATACCTACTGCGCAAAAATAATTCGAAATGGCGTGTCAACCTAAACGTTCCGAAACCGTCGTAATCCACGAGTTGCTGGCCTTTGTTCAACAAAAATTGGACGTCATGGACCAGGTGTCTCTGGAGCAGATACTGATGACAAGCTTCACCGAGGACGAGATCATCCAAGTGAAGAAGGTGTTAGCAGATTCAGCCGTGACCCAAATCCGTCTTATCACACGTCACAGGGATGGACGCGGTAAGAAAGACCTGCAAGACATCTTCAGGCTGTTCAATGAGACCGACCCTGATGACATCCCAACTTTCGTCGCGCGTGATCTCAACAAGCTGCCTCCCGTGACGTTCGATCACGTAGACGTCACCAGATTGTTGAAAGACATCACCACGTTGAGAGCCGATATTTCCGACATCCGTTCCAAATTTGAGGAATCAGAACGAGCCGCAACAGAGCTGAGGAACGAAGTCAATATGTTGCGCAACATAATTGCAACATCTGCAAATTCACCGCCGTCGCAGAATGTGAATACGACACGCGGTAACCGTAAAAGTAGTCATATTTCACCGATGATTGCGACTCCGTCACGCGATACCGTCTGTCAGCGGGTTGATGACCGAGAAACTAGGGCGACCTCGGTCGTCATTGCATCACCACCTCAACCCTTGACTGAACCCATTGGTATTCCTCCGCCGAAGCCAACCTCAAAACAAGGGAAGACGTTTGCGGATGTTGCCCGAAAATCTTTACAACCGGCACCCTCTTGTGGTCGAAAGCGGAAGAATGTGGAAATAAAATCAGTTCCAGTGGTGACCCAAGACAAGATTGATAAGGACGGGTTTACTCTTGTTGAGAAGAGACGTCGGTCGCGACCCGTCTGTAACCAGCGTGGGACCGCGAAAATAAACGAGAGTACAACTCTGCGTGCTGTGGAGCCAACCATACAACTCTACATCTCCCGTTTGGACAAAAGTACGTCGGGAGAAGACGTCCTGCGCTTCGTGGAAGAACGAAGCCGATGCCGCATTGAGGATCCGATCTCTTTACATTTGCAGCGTCTGGAGTCTAATAGGTCAACGAACTTCAAATCCTACGTACTCCAGATTCCTGCAAAACATAAAGAGACATTCCTCGCTCCCGATTTCTGGCCCTCTGGGGTAGTGTTTCGCCGATACAGGGACGCGCCAAAGAAAAAAGTTCCCTAAATAGTGTTAAGTTATGTCTATATTTTATATATATTTTTAGGTTAAGGTATATATTGCTATGGGCCAATGTTCTTAATTTTTAAGTCCTTGATGCCTGAAATAAAGTTATTGTATTGTATTAAAGTTTTACATACGTGTAATAAAGGGCTGCGGCTGTGTGTGCTGGAACATTTAGATATATTAAAAAGTAATAATAGTACCGTTGCATTGCTGAATGAACAAACAAATGTTACTAACTCACCTCTCTTAAATATCTTTAAGCCTGCTCTCTAATAATAGAGAGCCTCGCAATATGGTCGTTTGTCACCTCACGGTACTCGTCGATTGGTTGCGTGGTTGGAGGGTGGGCGTTGCGCGGCGGTTTTTTTTTTTATTTTACATACGGCTGTGTAAGTCCGGTGGTGATTGGTCGCATGTTTTATCGCATGACGCAGTCGCTCGCTACTTAAGTAGAGAGCGGTTGCGTCATTGGTCTGTATAAAAGGCACTTGTTTTGGCTCGGGAGGTGCTCTTCATACTAGGTAAGACACATCATTTTATTTTATAACGTGGATATTTGCGAAGTAAATTTTTCTAAAAGCTTTTATAAGGTGGTTAAACACAACCATCAGAACCTATCCGCCGCCTGGATAGACTATAAAAAGGCATTCGACTCAGTGCCTCATACTGATGATGATGAAGGGGATTTTTTTCTCATAAAATGGATTTATATTTACATTATAAATGCAAACATAAAAAATATAGATATTTAGAAATCGATTTTTTGTGAATCGATACATCAGCTTAAAATTTGAATTGATTTAAAAAATCGAACTTTTTCGGAAAGAATCGACATCCCTACTGACAATAACAATACAAAATAGTGTCAGTTTTACGGTAACAATTGACATAAATATTGCAAAAATAGTTGATTTTAATTATTTTTTTCTCAAAAAGTATGTGTCTCCGAATGTTGAAACTTTGCGTGTGTGCTGTAACATTTCTGTAAAAAAAATATCAGGCCCCAATTCGACGGACGTCAATGGAAAGCCGTACCAAAGCTATTTTGTTTCAGAAATCATTCAATAAAATTTTAATCTTAAACATTTAATATAAAAAAATAGGCATGTCTGGTGGGAAAAAAAGGTTGGTGGTGAACATACCCCACCCCCACCACTTTCCCCCCGCCCTCATCCCCCTATTAAGGCGACTTGATTCTAAACCTTAACCCAAAATTATGTATGTTCAAGCAATTAATGTAGTTTTAATTTTAAAAAAATTATATCAAAAATTTCTACTTACAATCGACAAAAAGCCAGTGAGCAATGAGCCTCTTTGTAAATCCAGAACAAATGCATCATGCAAGATAGGTTTTTGATACCAAGGTAGACGTAACGACTTTACAGATTTTGTTGAACGAAGATTTGTTGATGATCTACGAACACGCAAAATTTTATTAGAAAATTCTTAGCCACTAACCTATTCTATATGTGTGACACTTCCTTGGGTTGGTAAGTTAGATACTATATTTTTGAGTTAAATACCTTCCGGTGTAGTGGGAATATACCGATGGTGTTGAGCGATATGTAGTTGGAGTTTTCCGCCCGTACATGATTTCTATAGGTAGGTAACTAGTTTGGTAAACTCCCTCTTATACGATAAATTTTTTGTCATTAACCTCTTGATGTTATATAAATTTACTAAAAGCTAAAACATTTAAGTCTTGAAAACAACTTCTTGTATTCTTGTAAGAAAACGCAGGCCACACCTACATAAACAACTTCACAAAACGCAAAACGAATTTATTGTTTGAGTTTGACTTTACTTTGACGTCTTTTTTTTTTTGGTGCTTATGGCCTGGTATCTAGACCTTTAGCCCATTACTTTAGCGTATGGAATATTTTTCTTATAATGTAATAATATTCTTATATCTATGCCTAAAGGCCGGTTTACATTTTGAGAAGTGACACGTGCGAGTGAAAATGACAAGTAAAGACTGTCAAGTGACAACTAAAGCAAGTATTAACTACTACTAAATTATAGCAAGTAGGTTAGTAGGTTCACACATGTGGCAAGGGGAAATGCAGTTAGGTCATTATTATATGGAATTCCGAACCGTATGTTATTTCTAGTGCTCAAAATTGATGAGCAACTACGCCAACAAGTTCGTGATGTAATCAGAGGAGTAATAAACTCATAAATCATCATTATGTAAGATAGCAGCGGCGTGTCACATTTTATTTTTAAAATTCAGCGATTTAATATTAAATAAACAATCGTCTTTCAGTAATTCCTGAACAAATTTTATGTTGTCGTTCTCTGACCACTTCGCCATTGTTTTTTTTTTATAGGATAAGATTGCCAAACGAGCATACAGTCCACTTGATGGTAAGTGGTTGCTGCGGCCCATAGACATCTACTTCTACCCTCAATTACGAATCAAAATACAAATGCGTTGTCACTCGCGAGGACTAAGATGGAATGCCTCTTTTCCAGTAAAAAGGGTCTCCTGTTCTCTACACTCACCATACGAAACAACAGCGTTAAGCTGCTATTTTACGCTGGTATTCTGTGAGAGCGTGGTCCTTCCCTGGTCGAGCCGACCCATTTGTGCAGCAACTATACTACTAATATAGCTGCAGCATAGCTCTACCACATACAAAAAAAATGAAATAAAGGTTTATTTTTGGACCTTTATTACATTTTTGGAGTTTAAAGAAGTTTATAGACAGATAAAAGAAATAAAAAAACACAAACGCCGCAAAAGAATGTAACAAACTTTTTATCGTACACAACTGACAGTTAAAGGAAAACGTTACAAATAAGTTCTGTTATATTTAACTATCTATGCTTAAAGTAATTATGAAAAATTATGGTTGCTTGTAAGTTCAGACATTTTTGGTATTATTTTTAGTGAGCAACTGCACAGAATAATAATCATAGACCAGAGTGTATTTATGGGAGTTAACAACCCGCGAATTACTGTCTCCACCTACAGCGCTCTCTAGAGAGTACTTTATATGACGTTATCAATATATCGACTCGGCACACGAATGGACCTATCAGTCCGAGTAATAGTAGATCGAGGAGATATGCGCGCTACATCTTCCCCCTTCAAGTCACTATTCCGTCTCGGTTGTGACTTGGGTCTCCCTCTTGTTTTCGCGGTGATTGATTGCGATTCTCCACCATAAGGTGTTTGGTATTTACCACAATAATTATTCAACAAATATTAATCGACCTTCATTGTTTTCTACCTCATAGATAATACTCGCATGTTTTAAATGGTCCTATACGCCGAGGTGCAAACTTCTTCGGAAACACCTTGGAGGATTGACTCTGGTATAAGGGACAGGGGACCTTGCCTGGTAAAGTTTAGCTTCTCGCCTCCCATGATCAGCAACTTCTTTGCGAAGATCTTGCTGACGTTCTTGTCTTCATTTAATCTCTTGAAGACTTTCTGCAAACCGTTTTAAATACGGCGTAATTTGAGGGATGAAATTAGAATTATCTAATATAGAGCGGATATCGCTGATGACATCTATCGGTGAACGAAGTTCTCTACTAAAAGTTAAGTAGGCAGCAGTCTGTCCTGTGCCTTGATTGTACGCTGTATTTAATGCGAATCTCACCGCAGGTAAGCTCTTAGGCCAATCTGGTTAATTACTATTAATCAGTATAGTGAGCGTGACTTTCATATCCGTGTTTTTCCTCTCTGCAGGATTGGCTTGAGGATGATAAACAGGAGTCAGACCTTGACTAATACCAAGTATATGAAGAGATTTTTGCATGACAGCCGAAACGAACTGAGTACCATTATCAGAGATAATACGACAGGATAGTCCATATCGGAGAAAAATGTCTTCAATTAAAATTTTGTCGCAAGCTTCAGCAGTAGCTTCAACTATGGGAAATATCTTTACCCATCGGCTTGCAATATCTTCAATCAGAAAGATCCATTTCTCAACAGTTTCCGATTCAGGCAGAGGTCCGAATAGGTCCATCGCAAGGGCCTCAAATTTTTGTTACATAACCGGAGTCTGAAGCAATCCAGCTGGCTTCTAATTACCTACTAGGTTTGAATGACTGGCAAATATCGCAAACCTTTATATACTGGGTAACGAACTGACGCATCTGCGGGTTCGGTACCTTTCTCTGATTTTCCTCAGAGTTCGTTCTACACCCAGGTGACAGGCAGTCGGTGCATCATGAAGTTCTTTCATAAGCTCGCCTCTTAACGATCACGGGACCACAAGTTGTGGTTCTTCAGTCTCTCCATCAGAATCCACTCTATATAATACACCTTGCGCAACATAATACCCCCTGTCAGTCCAACGGGTAAACTTCATGCCCTCGCTTTCGAAGTACTTTAAAATATTTTGAACGTACGGATCCTCCAACTGTGCAGCATAAATCTCAGCGGCATCACGATGGGGCAAATCAATGGAAACAGAACACAAGTCACCAGATGCATTTTCTGTCGAAGAGGAATGAGGCGGTCGACTAAGGGTATCGGCAATCAAGGGTATACTCTATATTTAGATTATAAGCTTGGATCTTCATAGCCCCTCGTGCGAGACGACCACTGGGTGTATTAAGAGACATCAGCCATCGCAGTGGTTGATGATCAGTGGCGATCCGAATTTATCAAGAGCCCAGACCACCGCTAGAGCCTCACATCCTGCGGTGGTATAGTTGCGCTCAGCTGCTGTCAACAACTTACTAGTGTACTCGATCGGGCGTTCGTCTTTGGCTTCTTCACCTTGTATTAACACAGCACCCAAGGCGTAGGCGCTAGCATCGATACGCATAACGAATGGAACTTTAAGATCCGGCTGGCGAAGAATATAGGCAGAAGTGAGTTTATCTATGAGAGTAGCAAACGCCTGAGTCTGTTCTTCACCCCATGTCCACTTTCCGTTCTTTTTCGTAAGACACGTTAGCGGTCTAGCTATTTTGGAAAATTGCGGAATGAATTTCCGAAACCAACTACATGTTTGAAGGAAGCTACGTAACTCTTTCAAATTAGAAGGAAGTCTCATGTTTACTATAGCTGTGACCTTCTCAGAATCCGTTTGGATTTCTTGAGAGGAAATCACATGACCTAGGTATGTTACTCTGTCCCTAGCAAACATACATTTATCACGGTTGGCTTTCAAGCCAAACACTCGGAGTCCGTCGAAGACTTTTCTTTGATCTTGTACATGAGATGCAACATAATCGGAAACAACAAGCAAATCGTCGAGGTAGGCAACCACGCAAACATCACTGAGCCTGGACCGAAAGGGATCCATAGGTGCTGGAAAATCGCCGGTAAGGTTTTTAGGCCAAAAGGCATCCGACGAAATTGGAACTTCGTCGGATGCCTTTCTGCTCGTATTATTTCCTTTTTCACAGGAGTCAATCGATAAGGCGGCACTGCAATAGGTGCATTATTTCCCGTATTAATACGACGTACCGCAAATTTAGTGGCTTCTCCTCCTGGAGTGAACATATCTTTATTTTCTATTAACATAAACGAAATCTGTAGGCTACCATCGTTCTGGACAGTAGCAGAAGTAGTTGAAGCCATAGTTAAGTTCTGATCAGAACTAATAGTACAAGATCTAGTTAGGACCATTTCTTTTTTATATACATATATATGTATAAACTTAACAACTACTAATTATTTATTGACCAACAATACACATGAAATTAATTTTTAGTTACAACAAGTATTCATTTAAAATAATAATTTTTAATTAAATTGGTCAATGAACATCACATCACTACTCAACCATTCCAGCAATTTATTAAGTTTACAAGTTTTTTTTTTAATAAAATAATAATATTGAAATGATCATATTGTTTTATTTTAAAATGTGAAGACAAATCAATATCATTTAAGTTAAAATGAAAAAATATTTTCTTAATAGTCACCACAATATTGTAGCACTTAATAAAATTAAAAAAAAACTTTTGTTTGGCGAGAGTTTGCCACGCTTGACAGACGGGATGGCAACTGCAGGTGTTCTGTTAGAAAGACACTGATGGCCATCTCTTCTCACTAAAATAAATAGGTAGTAGGCATTCTTTTTTTGGTAGCCCTATTTGTCTGTAATCACAATTACTTCATCTTTAAGTTATGTGCCTGGCCGATACCGTTTGATAACTGAAGGGCCACAATAAGGGCTGATACTCGTTACCTAAACGAAAGACGGTATAGTATAATAAGTATAGCCTTGTTAGAGGCCGCGTTATGCATTATGTGATGCTTTCTGAACTGAGGAATCGGATGTGATTCAATACAGCCTGGTGAAATCACAGTTTGATATCACGCACATTACTTACCAACAATAGCTAGTTCTAAGTAGCTCAAACGTTTCATTTACCGTTTTATGTTCGTTTGTCTGGCTCATCCACTATGATGATTTCACCTTTTAAAATTAGAAACAGTACAGTAGAAGTTCTCTTTTACGCTTTAGCAATCGACCTTTGATGTTTTAAGTAGTTACATAATAATTATAATATCATTATTATGAACGTGTCTGTTATTTAATTCATAATCGACTCTTCTTTAATCTAGAGCTTTCTGTAGTTTTCACGTTTAAAATATGATATTGCAAATATGATATATAAATGAATTTATTGTATACAATATACATTATGATAGTTTAAAATGATTCTTATTTGTTTATTTAATTAAATATGAATTTTTGTTATGCTGCCGTTTTTGTTGAAATTCAATTTACAGTGCATCTCGCAATTCGTTTGTGGAATAATGGTCACCGCATCGGTGGTTGTCAACCTACATTACGTTAGTTTTGATTCTATTTATCTTTTAAAAGACAACATGAGCAGAAAAGCAAATTTTGTGGACTGAAGATACTCTTTTTTGTAGTCGTACATGTTATATTCAAATAGATACTTATAAGCATCTAAAGATGGCTGTGCTGACGAATGAGATTTGCCTGATTGTTCAGTTTAGAAAGTTTTATGAGAAACTACCGTCATATTTTATATGCCAAAGAATATTCATAACATAGGTTTTGGATGTGTAGCTTTTGTCTTTTAAATGTAGTCATGGAATTTTTTTTCAGCATGGCCCCCACTCCACTTCAATTTATCATTTTCTATTACGAACTAAAATTTACTGTTGCGGTACATAACATATATTATATATTGTGTTAAAGAATACATTCCATAGGAACAAGAACATTTTTGATAAATGTAATGTATTTTTTAATTTACACGGGGGTCGTGCCGTGAAAAAGCGGTTGGCTGGTACGGCCACATTTGATTGCATTTTTCTCCAAAAATACAAAGTTATATTGAAAAAGAAAGTGGTATACAGATACTCCTACAGGTGTACATTGAATTAGTGCACACCTCAAATACAGATTCAGTGGGTGGCCGAGCCAGGTAAACGAACGTTATTTGCTGTATGTTAGGTTGTGGATGTGAATTTTTTCTTTTCTTAAATTAAGAAATAATAATAGAATAGAATAGACTTACGTGCCGCGACTTGTACTTTTAAAATAAAAGTACAAGTCGCGGCACGTAAGTCTAGCACTGAACGAAACGTGGAGGCGACGCGCATGAATTGAACTGCACGAATGCGGCTCGTGCAAACGATACGTACGAGCCATTCAGCGCGCCTTATGCGCAATAAGTCAATCAGCGTGGCTTATGCGCAATAACGGTCATCGCTAGACTTTCATGCTGCTACTTATTTGTATGTCATGGAAACCTTTTCAGCACGGCCACTTCACTTCATAGTTTGCTATTATGAACTCACAATACTTGTTGCGGTATATTTATCGTATTATAGAGTACATTCCACAGGAATAAGAAGATTTTTGACATATAACGTTTTAAAGGTACACGGTAGCCGCGCTAAGAGTACAGTTTCATTGAAAGACTACGCGGTATAAAATACTCCTAGAGGGGAATACATAAGACTAGTGCACACCTCAAATACCAATTCAAGGTGACCGAGCCAGGGAAACGAACTTTCTTTTTTAGTAGTTTTAGGATTCGTCCTAAAATTGGCTTAATAAGTTCATTAATAAATCCTGGAATGTTATTTAAATGATTAATAATTTATTTATTTCGAGAATTCACAACGTAGTCGATGTTACTTCCTATTATTTATTCTGTGAAGTTACGTAGGTACATCCCGTGTTCAATCTGCGGAATTTGGATTTAGCACTTTAGTATGACTGTAACCAATCAGCGTCAGAGTCTCGTCCATAATTAGCAAGAGTATACCTACCTACCTATAGTATCGAGTGCAATTTTGGCATTTAAAGAATTTTTTTTTCATATTACTCCTTAAAATACTCAGTTTAAGGCTTATAGCCTATTAATATAAAATATTTAACATTAAAAAATATTTAATAAGCCTTTTTAAATTTACATTAATTATCTCCACAGACAATTTCGTTTTGTAAATATTCACTGTTTACATAAATTGGACCACACTGCCACAGACACTTAGGACATTTTAATGTAGTATCGTGCATTTTAGGTTGTTGCAAATCAACCCAACCGCTAAAAGGTAGATCACTTTTAGACATCAGTGAAAGTAAGTCGAAATCATTTAAAAATTTCCAGTTTTTGTCGCTATTTTCCGATTTGCTATCGTAGTCTTTTTTCTGGAGGTATTTTGTCAGCTTTTCAATTTTTTGAGCGTCATCTATACATGAATTTACCTTACTTGCTGATTCTTTAATAGCGCAGCTTGATTCTGAGACTTCGAGTAAGTCTGTGCGAAGTTGAAGTGATAAGTCACAAGTTCCGAAAGAATCGCCATCGATGGAAATTGTGGCCGGTGCTGTGAAAATGTTCATTTTCAACTATTATGCACCTATAGACAGAATATATTAACTATAGTGTCACATTCATAGACTAACATAACAATAGTTCTAACCCTCACCTAAATAAATAAAAAAACTGCCAATTCTGGAACATACAAATAAACAATTAACTTTAAAGTCGTTGTATCTCTGTGCATCTTCTATCGCATATCCAACAGGGAGTGCTCAGAGAAATTGTTCCAATTAATAAATAATTAAGAAATTTCAGCTGTTAAATCCTACCACCATGCACTGCGACAAAACTCGAAATTTGTATTTGTTGTAGCACGAATGGGTCGGCTCGACAGGGGAAGGACAACGCCCTCACAAAATACCATCGTAAATTAGCAGCTGTGTTTCATATAGTGAGTGTAGAGAACTAGAGACCCTTTTAAATGGAAACGACATTCATGTAAGTCCGCAAGGACGACGATGCATCTGCATTTTGATTTTTTATTGAGAATAGATGTAGATGTCTATTGGCCACTGCAACCACTTACCATCAGGTGGACTGTGTGCTCGTTTGTCACCCATACGAAAATATGCACGATCTAATTGTGGATTTTATTGTCGCCAGAGTTTTTTCGGACCATTACGATTTAGGTACCTTCAAGAAAAAAGCCTACTCCTTTCTCAAAAACCGGCTACACACCTGTAACTCTTCTGGAGTTGCAGATGATCATCGGTGCCGAATGCCACTTACCATCAGGTGAACACAGTTTTGCAGTGATTTCAATCTGCAAAGATTTCAAATCGTTACACAATCGCACGGCTGATCCCACGACACTTACAAATACCCCTTATGGTCGTTCTTACATAGTCCAACCATAACTTACTACAGTAACTTACATTTTTTCGGCTCATTTTGTTGGAACCACTCCTGTGGTCCAGTACCACAGCGACAAAATGGCGGCTGAGGACCTTGCATCATAAAAATAAACGGCGCACTCTCTTTACTTCCATTCATGAACTGTCGCATGTTTTCTGCAAATTGTGCGTTGTTCTGCCATTGGTCAAAGCAGTGTTTGAAAAATTCTGAAGGATTATCTTTGCAATTGTTAAGCACATGGCGATGGAAACATTCCTCGCAGAACACTTGACCGTAGTAAATTTTGAGCTTAGAGCTTGGAATTTCGTGACAGAAGTCTGAAATGTTAAAGTCAACCTCACTGATAAAAACAATGACAGCTTTAACATGGAAAAAAAGTTCTTAATTTATTGTAAATGAATATTATATTAAAAAGAATGAGAATACTGACTCATCTAACAACGCACAGTACAAACCGCTAGATGTAGAAATCTGGAATTTGGACAGTAGTTGTCTTCGTAGACATCTAAGAAAGGATTTTGGAAAATTCTATCCTTACGGGGATGAAATAGGTTATTACAGTGTGTATGAAACTTTTCATTTTACGGAGCGATTTACCGAAACTTATTATAGGTAACCTACTCTGTAA